AAAGAAGGCATTGATTTCTTTGATACCTATGCACCTGTTGTTAGAATTTCTACAATTAGATTGTTATTAGCCCTTGCGGCTATACACAATTTAGTGATTCACCAAATGGATGTAAAAACTGCATTCTTGAATGGTGAATTGGATGAAGAGATATATATGAAACAACCTGAAGGTTTTGTCATGCCTGGGAATGAAAATAAGGTTTGTAAGTTGGTGAAATCTCTTTATGGTCTAAAGCAAGCACCAAAACAATGGCATCAAAAATTTGATGACGTTGTTTTGTCGAATGGTTTTGAATTAAATCAAGCAGATAAGTGTGTATACAGCAGATTTGATGCTTCTGGACAAGGAGTTATAATTTGCTTATATGTAGATGACATGTTAATTTTTGGTACTAATCAAAATCAAGTTGATAATACCAAGGAATTTCTGTCATCTAGGTTTGCCATGAAAGACATGGGGCAGGCTGAAGTGATTCTAGGTTTAAGGATCAAGCGTAAGAATAATGAAATTTCTATCTCTCAATCACATTATATTGAGAAGATTTTGAAGAAGTTTAACTTCCAAGATTGTTCTCCGGTCAGTACTCCTATTGATCTAAGTCTAAAGCTCTTCCCTAATAAAGGTGTTGCGGTATCTCAACTAGAATACTCACGAGCTATTGGATGTTTGATGTATGCTATGATTAGTACTAGGCCAGACATAGCATATGCGGTTGGAAAACTTAGTAGGTATACTAGCAATCCTAGTTCGCATCATTGGCAAGCGATTAACCGAGTATTTAAATACTTGAAGGGAACCATGAACTATGGATTAACTTACACCGACTTTCCTTCTGTTTTGGAAGGATACTCGGATGCAAGTTGGATAACTAATATGGAAGATCACTCTTCCACGAGTGGATGGATATTCCTTCTCGGTGGAGGAGCAATTGGTTGGGCATCAAAGAAACAAACTTGCATAACTAACTCTACAATGGAGTCTGAGTTTGTGGCTTTGGCGGCAGCCGGTAAAGAAGCAGAATGGCTAAGAAATCTGATATATGACATTCCATTGTGGCCAAAACCAATATCTCCCATATCTATCCGATGTGATAGTGAAGCTACTTTGGCTAAGGCTTATAGTCAAGTTTACAATGGGAAGTCAAGACACTTAGGTGTGAGACACA